ATTGGTAAATTACAGAATATACGAAACCGAAACTTTTGTTTGGAACATGAAATTGAGTAAATCATGAGTTAATAAATGTAGTTTATTTAGTGAACATGTTAACAAAAGTAAAGGAATATAATCGCATATATCGAGGGCCACTTTAGCGGTAGTTAATAGGCTGTGTACGTCCGTCGAATATTTAGTATGCAAATCAGACGTTACGTTGGTGACTACGCGCTGTTCACCGATCATATTCATTTAACAACTTTATTGTATTTCTTGGTCAGTCAATTATATCTGGACATTTTTTTGAATTCATAGGATAAGGCGACACTGCAAGTATCGCTTTTATACCAATTCTTTTGTTGTTTTTAAATCTTTTTCTTCTCGAATGTGATGTGATGTTGATAACATTACATATCTATCTGTAACATTCTAGAAACCACAAGTCTTTAATTTGAATGTCTTATTCATTGTCGTAAGGTTGACCTAGCCAGGATTATACCCGTCCCTAAGATGGGAAAGATATTTGGCATCACCTAAAACATTTTGATTCAACGGATCATAACTTTATAAAAAAAAAAACTAATCCATGTGAAAAGCGTCTTTGTTCTGTAATTACACTTAAAACGGTTGGCGACAATCTTTATGGAAATACCATCGTACCAACAAAATCTACGACTGGATATCGTTCATTAAGAGGTACTCTCGTTAGACTAATGTCGAATTAATATTCTTCAATCCGCACATTGTAATTTATAAAAAAAAAACGTTATTAAGTAGGAATAATGCATTAGCATGCCTACGTTTTCAGAAGGAAAAAATACTAACCAACCAAAGATCAAACGATCTCTGATTTAAATTTACCCGTAGTGCGTAACAAGGTACGTTTATAAACTGCTTGTTACATGTTCCCCTTACCGACCTGAATAACTTTCTCGACAACACAGTCGCAGCTACCGATTTTGTAAATTATATTTAGACTGTTATGATATGCATTTCGGCATCGACACGGTTCAAGTGCAAATTGTAAAATCATTGTTTTGCTTACGAATGCATAGTCTAACTAAATAAATAAAAAAAAACAATTACTGAATGTATCGATAACCTATAGGATAATATGATCCCACAAATCAATGAACCCATTTATAATTATGCAAAAGGCGTTGACGATGCATCACACGGCGCTGATTCGGTTCGCCGAGCCAGTCTCTTTGAAACTGCAACCCATTTTGTGGACCACTGATCTCGTTAATTAAGCATTTACAAACCGTATATAAATGTAAATCTGAATTACATAAAGGTTTCGAGGGATTCTGAAAATACCGAGGGCAGAGGAAAGTTTTAGATGTATTGAATGTTGACGAATTATTATAATAAAATATTGCTTTTACGGAAACTCAACAATTCGCTTTCCTTAGCAAACGACTTTCTGAAAATCTTCAAAGGACTACATTTAAGAACGAGAATTGAATATACGAAAATCTTTTTTTATTTAACTAATATTGAAATACATACACCTGAATAGTTCCTATCACAGTTGATAAGGTATTCTGAAAACCACACGGGTGACGTAACGGCATCCTGAATATTTCTGGCGCAAATATATCTATTGAGACTGCAGGACAGTCGATGGGCTGATCGAGTTTTCTAAAAATACCATACGTTTTACACAGTACCTTCGACATTACGGTTACGGTATGTTTATAGAAAACTTCCAAATCTACTAAAATTTACTAATTTAATGGGATAGCTCTTCGTATTTTGTAGGTTTTCAACAATCGTAGATATAATTTGAAACAGTTTTATGGTTTCGTCTCGTTGCGAACTTTTTTCGTTGATCAGAAATCGGTTTCCATGAGACGACTAGAGATAAATGGAATTCAAATTTAACATAGTTAATAATTGTCAAAATTGTACATTTTTTTTTAATGTATTTTTTTTTTGATCGCCTTATTGGTCAAATATGCTACTTATTGTCTTTCGATCCTCTTTCACAGGCAATCTAAATATTTATGAAAAATATTTGGTATGCGAGGTGTGATGAGTAGTAGACCTAATAATATGCGTTTCAGACAACCATAAAGTTTAAGTTTTATACACATTTCGATATTAAACACCTAGACAGAACAAACAAAAATGTTGATCACTGAAATGTCTGGCCCGATGTGGGAATCGGACTCACGAGCCTCGGCCCAGTAGTCAGAGACTCAAAATATAAAAAAATTCAAAAATATGTATTACGTATGAGATTTTTATAATAAGATCTCAAATAATTGATCTCAATACTACATACAATCTAGAAGTGGAAAAAATACACACAAATCCCTTTAGATTATTTTTTAGAGAAATCCTAATCCGACCTCATGATTATCTTATAGAGACATTTAGTGTTGTTAGATTTCAATATGCTGACAACAGAGAAAATTCTTATAAGTGTATGTAAGCATTCCTCTATGAGCACGAACATATCTCACGCAAACGGTCACGCCACTAAGTCACTTAGAAAGTTGCGTTATCAAACATGTGAGCAAGTTTAACTTATTAACTGAATACCGAGTAAGCAGTGCCTGTAAACAAGTTTAATTTATTCAATTTTTATAGCGGTCGCGTAGAAGATAACTAGAATTTCAAATTGTGAAATGGTAATATTCAGTAAACACTATATGATTTTTGAGATCATATTATCATAGGTTAACGTTACATTCACTAATCGGTTTTCTTTATTTTTAGAAGGGTGATTTCCACGCACGTCCACCTGGTATTTAGTGGTTAGCGAAGACCAAAGACGTCACAACATGCACCTAACCTTGTGACATAAGGTCTGGGGTCTCAATTGTATAATTTGACGGTTGTCCTACCGCTTCAAGCCGAAACGCATCACTGCTTCGTAGAAATGAGCAGGGTGATGGTACTTTCATACCTACTTATCCGTTCACTAGACGCCCTAGCAGAATCAATTAAATTTTCACCTCTAGCATCCACCACAATCCATGAATTCAACATTCAAATTTTCGCTTAATAATCAACATTCGACCATAATACTACTAGATTTAGATTCTTTTTATATACTTATTATGTTATATTATTATCTCCTTCTTTTAATACTTTTTGAAGAAAATTTTGAACCAATTTCCAAATATTTTATTGATAACAAAAAAGCTAGTTAAAAAGAACAAAACCGCTTGATAGTGAAAATGGTAATTAAGTGCATTTTCTTGCCTTTACATACTAATATTTTGTATTTATTTTTGTGACAATTTTTAGGTTAAGGCTTTCTTAAATGACTGACCTAAAATTTTTAGTCGAGATAGGGTCCGATAAAAATAATCAATACAAAAACACGATTCATCACTATTTTTACAAAGGACGTTGAAAAAAATATTTAGCAAAAATAAATGTAGGATGAGATGAGAATTGTTGATCGTTTTTTTAGAAACTGGCTAAAATCCCTACACCGTTGAAAAGATGAAGTAAGATTAAACCTCATTTATTGCCATGCGTTTATTTTTCATTGAAATAGCTTTTTTCGCAGGCGTATATTTATTCGCTTTGCTCTATCGGTGATTTCGCCTCAATTCGGTTTTCTATTTTCAATTGCATGTTTAATTTAAAATCAACAAAGTTCACAATTAGAGAAACTCATGACGTTACTGCGGTTTAGTATATTCAGTATAATAACCATTTCATTTGTATTTCAAAGCAATACTGACGCATATAAGATGATTTATAAATCGTAACCTTCCGAAATTCTGGGACGGGGTTGTTTGTGTCGTTTTGAAATTAGAATCAATAAATTATATTTAAAACATTCAGCTAATTATAATGCTCTTTTGAAGTTAGAAATCAGCGTGTCAACGGCAAGCGCGAAAACGTTGGTAAAATTTTAATTTAGAGCAACGGTTGGGTTTTATGCTTGTCCGATTCGGCCCGTAGTCCTGGCCGACAGGCATGACACGGCCCTGAGACGATAACATCGCCTACGGGGAATATTGATCTTATTTGAGCTTGATTAACCCAGTCGTTGGCGTGCTAATAATACACGTACTCTGGCGCTGGTCCAGGCGAGGCCTTAATGGTACTTTGATGCAATACAGTTTTCATGGCTGACGCATCTTATGTTACTTTTAATCACATCTATCGATAGAAAACGGAAACGTTACGCAGTCAAGTTTTGTAAACAAAGTAAGATTTTAAAATATACCTATGCTTTATAAAAGTGTCCGAAGGTTTGAGACGCCTAAAAATCTAAAAAGTTATTTACATGCAAAACCAGTGAATACGCTCAGCACAGTAGCTTTATGATTTAAATTTCTTTTTTATAATACTTAAGAACTTTACACGAATAATAAATAATTTTTATATATTAGCTACTATACTGTACATTATATAGTATGATATCATTCCAATTTTGAAAATCGCTGACTTACTCAATCGAACAACGTCTCATCACATCACATCGAACTCACTTTATTCAATGAATAAAAAAAGTATGTAAAGTTATTTGCTCGAGCTTAAAAGTCTGTTTTAGACTCTAATTAAAAATATAAAGATGCCTGCGAATAAGACATCGATTTCATTAATTTTACGACTATGTATTATACAAGATCAAAGCATTCCAAAGAGTCGAAGCGCCAGTTTCTGGCCTATATCAATGTCATTCTTGATGGAACCAAATTTTGTTTTTTTAGCCTCATCGTGAGTGACATGTGTGATAAAATTGAAAAAGTTAGTACTAAGCCATCGTGCATGATTATATTAACATATGTAATTGTAATGTAACGTGCAACTCCATTTATGAATGCTAATTTAACTTACACATGAAGTTATTGAATGTGTGTCCGTGTGTGTGTGTATGTGTAACTGTAAAAATAATCATAGGTAAACAGTATTTTGCGTGATGAAACTTGTTGCAAATGAATTAAATGAGATCATGGAAGTGTGTGGTAAACAAATTATGTTATTTATGCCGTATCCACATGCGTAAAACGTGCCAAGTAATAAAAAATTGTAAATACCAGTAGGGTATGTGTTCCTGTGTCGATGACATTGCCGTTACTCACCTGAAATCAACATATAGAATTTATGAGTGTCGATAATGCAGTTTGGTTAGTTACAATTAAAAAATATTCAATAAATTCAATCTATATATATATAAATTAATTGCTGTTCGTTAGTCTCGCTAAAACTCGAGAACGTCTGGACCGATTTGGCTAATTTTGGTCTTGAATTACTTGTGGAAGTCCAGAGAAGGTTTAAAATGTGGATAAATATGAAAATGCTGAAATGAATTAAATAAAAATAACAATTTTGTTTTCCCTTTGATGTGTCCCCCGTCGGACGGATTCCTTTTGTTTGTTTTAAGTTTATTTTATACAAAAGTTTAGGTCTTTTATTTATCGATTACGGCACTACGAAGTCTGCCGGGTCAGCTAGTTGATAATATAATAATTCATTGTCAAATAGTGCATTACGAGCTAATCAACAACGATGGTTGAATCGTGAGGCGTCGCGACGACGCCGACGCCACGCCGACCGCGAACAGACCAACTATTGGCAAATATCCAAATATCTTTAATGCTCCGGACAGGATAAGTTGCTCTATTCACCTGGATCGGTACTGCGCGTCGATTAGCATGAATATTATTATTATTTCTGCCGTGCCCCGCTTATTTCTGCCGTGAAGCAGTAATGCGTTTCGGTTTGAAGGGTGGGGCAGCCGTTGTAACTATATTTGAGACCTTAGAACTTATCTCAAGGTGGGTGGCGCATTTACGTCGTAGATATACAAGTGCAATAAAAAAATATATCTGCAGGCGCATAATAACTATCGACATCTACCGAACGTGAATTACGTTTTTCACGGATGAGTTATTTCCATATATGTTCCACACCCATCCATGTCCCCGTTATTATTTATTTTTATTGCTTGTAGTATAAGCTAGGAAACAAAGTATCGACTATTATGAATGAATTCCTTATTGCTTCATTATTTATTGCACATCGGCAGTTGAACTGGAGAGTAAATAATTTACAAACCCAGGTACTGAGCTTTTCTGGCTTAATTAAAATTTATTTAAAAAAGCAACATATCCGATGTATTGTTATTTACATTGTATGTTAAAATTAAATGGTCACGTGTAGGTGAGACACAAAAACAAAAAAAATCGACGAATAAATTTGATTCACTTTTCAATTAATTGCTGACATTTTTACGCAGTACGTACCAAAATTTATTATTGAAAAACATGTATAAATCTTTGGTCTTTTTTGTTTCTATATAAGTATGCATATTATAATATTAATTATATATAAATGAGATACGAATATCGATTACTCCCAATGCAGATGCACTTTTCTTGTTGCTAGGTGAGTTTTACTCAGATCTAAGATCTATTAAGTTAAATTTAGGCTCCAAATATTATGTTCTGATTATTATATTTTATTATTAAATAGCTTTTTTTTGTATTTGTTGCTCTAAATGGACTGACGATACCTCTGTCGTCTTTTGTTATGTGATTAACCATACACATTACAGCGTGGATGCCGTCACACATCTTGAGACTTGAGCATAAAGACTCCATTAACGACAGCCCTGCCGTTCAAACAGTAACATTTGACTTTTTAACTGACGATACTTACATACTTTGTCCGTATGCTGGTACCTATCCGTGATTTCAAACTCAGCTTACGTTTACCAGTTATTATTATATATCTTTATACTATATCTATATATTAATACGTGAAGGAAAAACTTTGTATCCTTTTTTACGAAAATTGCGAGGACGGAGGAGTATGAAATTTTCCACACTTATAGAGAATATAGAGAAGAAGTGCACAATGCTAATATTTTTTTAAAATAATGCATAAATGATACATTAAATCAATAAAGAAAACATTACACACACTACATACCGTGTATTTAACGCACACACGCATGCATACTATTTATTGTCAAACTTTTGTTCTTGACGTCTGTGGTCAAATTGAGAATAGATTAAATATTGATTGTCTTTATTAATATGTTTCTATAGTGTAGTCTTGGCGAAATTTGTGATTATAGAAGTATAATATACAATTATAATAGTGTACAAACTTACAATTCCAATTAATTATAGTCGAATTTCGACTACTGCGGGACCTCTATTGCACATTAATATTTCATCTCGGAAGTCGAATGCTGGATAGGTAAGTACATATCACTTTAGAATAATTGGTACATACCCTCAATTTTTCGACGTCTTACCATTAATCAGGCGATTTAGTTCTTTAACAATTTTTTATCGAGTTCTAGAAAGTGGCGACACTGGTTTTGAGCATAATGGCGCAGAGCCTCGACAAGTGTACGATATGATTTATGTGGCACGCACACAAACAATCAAATAAATATAATAAATAACGAGAATAAAGCATCAATAAATAAATAAAACATTTAATAAATCTTGCTATTATCTCGAAACATAGACGAGTTCGTTTCAACTGATTACTAATGATTTATTATTACAACGACCTCATTATCAACAACAAACAACTTAAATTGTGTACATTAACTATCAAAGAATCAATATATTTAATTATCATATAAGTGAAAAGATTCATGTCAAGCTTCTTAACTAGCCGGTATTCATACGAAAGAGGAGGATTCTTTAAAGAGTCGCGGAACACGTACCACATAAATAAAACCCATTCAAGGTCTATAGGCGTGGAAACATTGAAAACGTTTCCTTTCACCCGTGCATTTTAAAACAAGCCCGGCAGCCGGTCCTCTGTAAGAGTCCAGTCAAAGCTCCCTAACGACCACGTATATAAAACAAGTGGAGTATGGAGTCAAGTATCAAACGTACGAGCAAATAAATTATGTGACGAAATAAAAACGTAATACCATTTTCCTTTACGATGTAGTCTGATCACGTTAATTACGTTGCCTAAGGAATCGTGTCGGTAAAAAAAAAAAACCGTCAAGGAATAATCGAGCAGTCGCCTACAAGATAATATGTGACCTCGTTATCTTTACAGCACGCAACGCACATCAATCGGTGTTCAATAAAGAGATATTACGGAATAAATAACACGATTCTTGACAATTCTGTGACATCTTTATGTAGGTAATGAACGGTACAGTAACGAGAGCAGTAAAATATTTAAAGGCAGCAGGGNTCGTTATCTTTACAGCACGCAACGCACATCAATCGGTGTTCAATAAAGAGATATTACGGAATAAATAACACGATTCTTGACAATTCTGTGACATCTTTATGTAGGTAATGAACGGTACAGTAACGAGAGCAGTAAAATATTTAAAGGCAGCAGGGAACGTTTCGCTTTACTACCACACCAGTTTAGTGATCTAGGCAAAATAATGTATCCTTCAATTGCTTACTTTTATTTATATTCAATTTAGAGACATCATTGATATCGAATTTCTTTTTAAATAATTATTACTTATTTCATGTTATTCAAATTAAAAAATAATATACGGGACACCGAAAACCAGTAAACATGGTTTATTAATTTACTGATGATAAGACGTATTGTAAAGCTCGAAAAGTTCCTTCCATAACTGTCCTGCCTACTTCTGGCGTGAAGCAGTTTCGAAGAAAAATCAGCAAAAAATTTTCTCATATCGTAAGCTGGGTGACAGCATCCAGGTCGTGATGTCTATGGGCTCTTATATCCACAAAAAACCAGGTGAACGAAGTAATTAAAAACAAAATTAAATTATAAAATGTTGGCAGTTAATCATTTGAACTTAATAAATCATAGCTTAAGTTTAAAGTTTCACATTCATTCAAGTCACAAACGTTCACAAAATTACAAACGGCAGTTCATCTACTAGCATATAGCTATAATACTATTTCAGTTCTCGTATTAGATCGTACTGAAAACACTATTCACAAGAATCTAAATAGGGATGTAAAATATTTTAACAGCCCCATAATTTCCAGTTCAACGTTTCTCTTTGGCTAGTTATAACTTTCTTCTGAATGTTGCAATACCGTAATATCTCTCAGAGATCATTATTATTGAAAGTTGGTTGTGTAGCCGGTTTAACAGTCTCTAGCAGTGCAACTAGGACGTTTTGATATATTTATCGCCAACCCTATATTACACTGCAAATAATGGATTGCAGGGTACTACTCCCAGGATTGCTGGTTAGAATTTAATGATTGATATTGAATATTGAAATATGATATTGAACCTATTTCGCTGTTAGTTCCCTGGTTGAAGCGAATATTTACTAAAATAAATCCCCGCCGCTCCTGATAAATAGCAACGAAAAATATGAGCATTAAATATTGTTGTAAATTGTCACGGTTAGACATGTTGACAACTTTACATTCCGTAATCTTTATTATATTACATAATTTATAATAAAAACAGAAACTAAGAGAACGCTTTTCTGATACATTTATTTATTATTTTAAATGTTGACTTACATAAGAATATTTTTTTCAATACGAGTAGAGGAGAACATGTATGTGAGTAAGAAATAATAGTTTACAGTTCGTGAGAAAGCTTACAAATATAATAGGCGAATTCTCAACATAATGATAAATCAAACTCACATCAATCTGATGATCATTGAGGCAGAATAAACTTAGTCTGTTTTACTATTACTTCTTTTCCATAACAAATACCAGACTCATTTTTAGCAAGAATTTTAATAGGGGATGATGACAATTTAGACAGCCCTATTGTTTCGTGCTCCTCTTTGACGAATTATCACTTTCTACATATAATGTATCTGGAAGCGACATTCGCCTTTCGACTTCGAACGTTGAAGCAAGTAACGTGTGTTTACATTTTGCAAGAATATCTTCAACTGTTATATTCGGCTGCTTGTTTTCGAGAATCTTGTGTAATTGGCCATAACTCTGTCACATACTTTTACAATTAATTGACATCAGGAAATATAAATCATAATAATACGTTATGACACTAAAGTTAGTGATATCTGTGATACGATGATATCTGTACTGTATGTCTTTATTTTTGGACTCTGGCCAATCAGTCTAAGAAGAATTTTGACAATTTCTACACGCATACGTGGTGAACTTGTAGA